ATAGATAGATAGATAGATAGATAGATAGATGCTTATTTTTTTACACTTATGTTTTTTTTTCATTATTGGTACAATGTGATCCAGTCTGTTGGCAAACTCAGATGGTTGTGTTTGCTGTATAATTAATTTTAATGAACTGCTCTGTAGTTTTGGCGATATTTGTTGAAGTGTTCTGGATCTGTTGTCACGCACGCTGACTCGCATTGAGCACTTTTCTTATGTCACAGTTCTGCTGCACATCTGGCCCAGAGTTCAAATATAACTATTAGGTCTGGTATATACTCCGCTCACACCAAATCAGACCACAGACCTGATTTTTCATTCAAACCACATAGGCGGTGTAAAGGTTATGTTTCCCGGTCACAGCAGGGTAGAAGTGGCATTCAGAGATGAGTTTAAATAGCCTAAACGTGTGTTGGAGGTGGTTGTGGTCTGTGTGTATAGAGCTGGAACTGAAGTGATGGCCGTATGTAATGACTGAGTCAGTGCTGGTCAGACTGAAGCTGTATGTGTGCAACTGTGAGTTGCTGAGTCACTAAGCTATGCCACGCTGACATCTTGTGTTAACTTCATTGTATTGCGGTGGAGCAATTTTCAATTGTCATTAGGAAACCTGGGCTCAAATTCCAGCCGTTTTGTTTTAGTTTTTTGCTTTGTTTAATACAGTAAATAATATGAGCAAGGTGTTTAAAGGCAAGGCACAACCTCATTAATCCATATCCATAATTCCTATCCTTATTAAACAGCCTTATGCCAGTTTTTGTGCTTGAATTTTTTCTTTCCTCTTCCAGGTTGCACTGCTAGATGTGGACATCTGTGGGCCATCTATACCAAAGATAATGGGGTTAGAGGGGGAGCAGGTATGTCGTATATCTCTGGCTTCATTGTGCTTCTTTCTTGTGACAGAATGCTGAGATATCTGACTGATTTATAGACAGGGAATCTCATTCTCTGCTTGTTTTCTCTGTAAGGTTCATCAGAGCGGCTCAGGCTGGTCCCCAGTGGTGAGATCTTTTAAATCTCTATTCTTTTGATTTGTGTTCTCAAGCATTTGTTACATTCTCAAGCATTCTTACATATGCATATATTCTCTCTGACTAGTATGTTGAGGACAACTTGGCTGTCATGTCCATTGGCTTCCTGCTCAGTAGTCCAGATGATGCTGTTATCTGGAGAGGCCCCAAAAAGAATGGTTGGTACTTTATTTTAGCCCTGTCTTCTGTTGTACACATCAGGAATATAAAATTGTTCATTTTCTTAAGTAGTTTAAATTGCATTCCTCAAAGACATGCAGTCTTATTTAGCTGTGAGTTGTATTGGAATCCAAACATGGCAAAAGTGTGACAATACGTGGTATCTGACTGCAGAGCAATTATTTTTGAATCTATGGATCTTAGGGATATGCCGGTATCAAATTCTCATGTTGCGATTAATTGCTAATGCTTTTATCACGGTATTGAAATTTAGTTTTAAAAAAGTGCTGTCATAATACAGTATAACAGGTTTAATAACTTTTTTCTTATAACAAAAATAACTGAACATTTAAATGCAATAAAGCAATACAGAAAAATGTATAAAGTTAAAAGTTTTACACAGATTAAAGTGCAAAAGAACTATAAAGACCAATAGGTATCACTTTACAATAAGACCTCATTAGTTAACCTTAGTTAATGCATTAACATTCACAATGAGCAATAGCTACATTTGCTACAGAAGTTATTAATCTTTGTTTAAAAAATACAAGTCTTAGTTCATGTTAGCTCATTAAATAACACAGTTGCAACTTTCGATTTTAACAACGTGTTATTAAATATTGTAATTACCTAAGATTAATGAATGTTCAGAAGAATTTTTCATTGGCAGTTTGTTAACTAATTAATTAACTAATGTTAACTAATGAAGCCCTAATGTAAAGTGTGACCGAACAATAAAGAATCAAAACACTTTCAAACAATATCTAGGGCATGTTGTAGTCCAGATTAAAATGTAAAAAAAGTTTGAAAATAAATAGCCTATTAAGTCTAAATATTTAAGTATTTGGCGCTGTGATGAACATTATTCATTATTATTATTATTATTATTTCTGCAGTTTAGCGCCATCTGCTGTCAGAGAGTGAAAGTGCGCTTTCATCCAGAGCGTCTCTCACATGTTCCGCCATGTGCTTCACGTCCGCTTGTTTACATCAGAGTGCGCACGCGTCTTTCACGCAGCATACAGCGGTGTTGTGCATTTTGACCAGTTTATGGGAAAAGTATTCTTAAAATGCATTCAAAATTCTGAATAATTTGTAATATATAATTATTCACGGTATTTAGAAATGCCCACGATAACAATATCGTGCATATTCATTACCGTGATATATCGCATTACCGAATACCGGCACAAGTCTACAGTGTATTATACTGTTAAAAAAAAAAAAAAAAACTTTTTTCAGGTAACCTAAAATGTACACAAATAGCACATTAAAGTTAAAAGTTACACACTTTTTTTGTGCGCGCGCTGTACAGGTCTGGTATAAAGAATGTTTTTGCTCAGGTGGCCGAAATGTCCACCCAATAGAGAAAAGTTTTGCTCAGCAAGAAAAAAAATTAGAGGGAACATTGGTTGCCGCTTGATTATTTCATGTAAAAAAAATAAATACAAAAAAAGAGGAAAAACTTTAAAGGGATAGTTCACCCCAAAAATTTTAAATTAGGTCATCATTTACTCAAACCTGAATGACTTACTTTCTTTTGTGGAACATAAAAGAAAGTATTTTGAAGACTGCTGGTAACAAAGCTGTTTTGGTTACTGTGGAGGAAATTTTATTTCTATCTGAAATATTAATATTATTTGCTTCACTGTACTAAAGAGTGTTCTTTAGACTGTCTCTGAGTGCTTCAGTTTGCTTTAATGTGCTTGAGTTTTTGATGAGCTGAGAGATAACAGGAAATCTGTTTGTGTATGTGTGCAAGACAAGTGTGTGAGACAGAAATGTTATTTTAGTTTCTTAGACGTCCTGGCTACTTAGAAAATGATTTGCATTAAAGGGATAGTTCACCCAAAACTGAAAATGTGATGTTTATCTGCTTACCCCCAGGGCATCCAAGATGTTTTTTGGGTGAACTATCCCTTTAAATTCTTAGAAACGCATCTGGAGGACATAGTTAGGCACCTTAAATGGACATATATGTTGAATATGCAAAAGCATCCGCATTTGATGACGGTATAAATGTTGAGTTTGGGTGTTCTATAGCCAACCTTGAATGACTGTATGAATGTAGACCTTTTCCTGCAGGAAAATAAATATTCAAACGACTTGCCTTTGGAAATGGAAAATTGCCACCACAGTTACCAATGACTTCCATTGCATGAACGAAACAATCTGAGATGTTTCTGAAATTATAATCTTTTATGTTCTATAGTTTATGTTAGGCCGTTGTAGTGTAATAAATATTGTTGAATCAAATAAAATATTTTTTTTCTAAAGCTACTATTCATAATGTCTATTTAATACTTTCATTTAACACAAAAATAGCTTTAAATAATCTTTTGGGGGTATTTTTACAGCCAAATAGAATTTGTGATTAACTAGATTAATCGATACATCATGTAATTAATTAGATAAACATTTTAATCGACTGGCAACCCTAGTTTTAATGTTTTTGACAGAAGTCTCTTACACTCACCAAGGTTGTATTTGTTTTTATTTTGTTGTTAAATATATATATATGTGTAAAAAATAAATATAAGAAAATAAAATTAATACATTTTTAAAAAGTAATTATTCCAATGACACAACGCTGAATAAGAACCGTTATTAATAATTGAGCATCAGTAATAATTAATAACTAAGCAGCAAATCAGCAGATTAGAATGATTTCTAGAGGATCATGTGACACTGAAGACTGAACTAATGATGCTGAAAATTCAGCTTTGCATCACAGGAATAAATCCATTTTAAAATATATTAAAATAGGAAACATTTATTTTAAATTGTAATAATATTTCACAATATTATTGTTTTTACTATATTTGCACATGCAAATACATGCAGCCCTGGTTTCTTTCTTCTGCTGAACACAAAAGAAGAACTTCAAAATATCGTCTTTTATGTTCAACAGAAGAAAGAAATTCAGTTTTCAATCACACAATTTCTACCGGAGCATAACTACAAAAACGTATGTTCATTATAAAAATGCCTATGGTGTTATGAGTTTTTTTTTTTTCATGACATTTCCAGTTCTAGAAATTTCAAATGAATGGCCTATTACACAAAGCCAGTTTCCGTGGTTACCCAGATAAGTTTCGTTTGAGCGGTGTTCATGACCATAGTAACTTAAGCTACAAGGCTAACCTGTTCTGGAGCTGGTTTTATTCTGGGTAAGAGATCATAAACCAAAACTGGACTAATCAACTGTGAGCAAAGGGACATACATCTGACACAACAATGTGACACTCCCTGTATTTCATTAACCGAATTAAAGTACTTCACAGTGAAAGAATTTTAGAGACAATATCATCTATCCTTCGGTGTTAATATTATTGCAAAATTTGCTATTAACAGATCCTTCATTGTGCTCAAATTGGGACGCTAGATGGTGGTATAGGGTTATGTAACAGAAATGTAATGTGAGCATCACTAGGTAGGTATTGATGGCAAAAAATGCCTAGGTTGACATGTATGCTCTAATATCTAAAAATGCTCTCTACATAGGCTACCTAGAAAAACTACTATATAGGCAGATATTCTGTTATGCTCAAAAATGCTGTCTACATAGCAGCTCACTAGGTATTGCTGTCTATATAAGCAGGTCTGTTACTATTGGATATGCTAGGTGTATGTTTTTAGTTCTAAAAGTCTTTTCTCTGTCATAGGAGAATCTGAAGCTCAACATTTCCTCCAGTGCTAAAACAGTGCAAGACATGAAGAGTAAGTGTCTACCTCATATGTGTCCTATTGTATGTGCTCTATGATGCATATCCTCTTTCCTTCACATTACTGTTGATTTTCTGTTTCTAGATCGAATGAAGTCATTAATGGAGGATGTCAATAAAATGCAGAGCGAGCTGAAATCCTGTCAAAGTAACATGGACACAATCAGTAAGAAAGCCACCAGTGAAATGTAGGTTCTTTCTGAATGCTCTAATCTACAATACAAAAGACATTACATTCCTTGATCAGTGTGATAATAGCTGTGTGGGATGGGATTGTGCAGGACTCAGTGTAACAAACAAATTGAGGCCGTGAAAGAGGAATGCGATGCAAAAATCGCAGCTGCCAAACTGGAAAAGCAAAAAACATCTGAAAAAGTTGCTCCACAGGTACAGCTATGCGAAAAAGTGGCCTAAAATGCCTCCTTTATAGTGATTCTTATCTTTTTTGGTGTCTCTTTCCCCCTTTCCACTGACACAATCTCTGGCCTTCACAGAATGCTGATGGTTCCATGCAGAAAGTCTCTGTTTCGAAAGCCAAATTTGATGTTCCTGCTACAAATCATTCAGATAAGAATGCGGCAGAACCTCCAAAAGGCAAACCAGATGTGGATTCACAGTCTATAAAGGATGCTCACGTCCAAACCAATGAGTTAGTTGTGGAAAAGGATGAGGAAGGTATGAGTTGCTTGTTTAAGTCTTCTTTGTGGTTTCTAGGTGGTTGGTTGCTGGCTTGAGTCCCTTATTCAGTGCAAGTCAGATCACTCAGAAGAGTAATAGCAAAGCTCTCCTCAAAAAAAAAAAAAGAAAAGAAAAGAAAAAACACGATTTTAGATTTTTCATGCTCGTTGCACAATGTTATTGATCTTATCTTGAACGATTTATCCATGCATGTTTTTCTTTATTATTATTTTTTTTTATTCATTTATTTTTTTTTTACTTTTTAATGTTTAATCAAAATATCATAATGCAGATCTTCTGGTGAAATGGCAGACTTCTTTCTTCTGATAACGTATGCCCAACTTTTCCAGTTATTTTCTCTGCTTAAACCCCATCCCTGCAAGCTTATGTTCATCTGCTTTTTTTTTTTCCAGCGCAACCTTCACACCTCAAAATCCATTTATCATTTAATGCTTAAACCTTTCCATGTTTTCTGATAATCTCTTACACTTGGATGTAAATCATAGTACGGAAGAAAAGATCTGTCGCTACCTCCATTAAATCATGACTTGCAACCTCTGGCTAAAATACAATTGGCCCCCTAGTGGCAGTCGTAATGAATTAGAAATTTGCTCATTTGCTTGGACAGTTGCATACTGTTTTGTCACACAAAATGTATACACATCCGTGGCTCAAATCTATAGAAGCCCGTTTCCGCCACTGAATAAAAAATAAAAAAGGTAATTGCAACTTTTTATCTCGCAGTTCTGACTTTTTTTTCTCAGAATTGCGTGATACAAACTCGCAATTGCGTGTTATAAAGTGAG